CCCTCTCCCTCTCTCTCCCATCACCCCTGCCTCAGGAAGCAAAACTCTTTGGGCCCTCCTTCTTTCCATTTATCACGGACGGAGCCCTGCTCTGCCTGACGGCCTGTCTCGCACATTGTCCGCTATTTAATAGTCGCCCTGGTCTGTGGCGGGGCGGGGAGGGGCGGGGTGGGCAGCAGGGCCTTAAGCTGCGTTAGTTTGCGCTCAGCTGTCGGTCTGGAAAGGACCGAGAGCGAAGCAGCCGGACGGGATTTGGTCCGATTGTTATCCTGCCCTCCCCCCACCCCTACCGCTGCTTCCTCTCTCCGCGCTATACATAAAGCGTTCCACGACATTTTCTCTCTTTTGCGGCTTAACAATTTTTTTTCGGACCCGCCTCTTTATTTGGGATGAGTGTCACTGTTTGTTCTTGGAAAAATACGACCCTACTCCCTCCCCCCTCTCCCCACAAACACACACAGAACAGCAGGACCTTAGTTTGTCTAAATTCCGCATGTTCTGTCTGTCGTCGTGGCATATTATAAGGATTTTAATGATTTTTTACCTTAGCATTTATTTTACGCGGCCTATGATGTGCTGCTCTCAAGCTGTTTTCCTCTGTCTTTTTGTCTGTCTTCTTACAATTTGTTTCTGTTCCATATCCAGGCTGACTTCCGGGACCTCAGCGGCTGGTCAGAGGCTGGCGTCAGCGGCTGAAACAGCAGTTCTCGCACTGAGAAACAGGTGAGTACAAATGCGAAAGCCAAGCTCCGGACCGCCGTCATGCATAGGAGATGTAATAAGAATACGCAATTTATTATTTTTGTTTTTGTTGGTAAACTCGTGATGTTGTATACGCGTTGGGAATCAGCTAGAGCTAGGGTGACTTAGAAACCGATGATAACCGGACCGGATCTCCTCAAGGACGCAATTGCGCATGGAACAAATCAGAATTGCCGCCTGTTCCACGAGGATCTTCAACACGGCAGTGTGTTACCAGCCCCGGCGATCTGGTACAGGAACTGATTGGCTGAGCGAAAGCGAAGCCTATGAACTCCCCGTCTGGTCGGAAAAAAAACCTTTTACTGTCAATAAGCACTTATTGCGAGGCATTCCGTGTCGACTTGAAATCGAATGACGAGCAAGAGTGGGTGCGGGTGCGCTTGGTGGAGAGGTTGAACATGTACGACACATTCTGTAATTAGCAAAATTACGAAATATACCGTCTTTACATATACAGACATAGTTTTCACAGTGCAAAGTGCGAAAGGAAAAAAAAATTACAAAGGCATTTTTTATCGTGTATGCAGTGGTCTCCGCCGCTCTAGCAGAGCAGGGGGTAAATTCCAATTACACAGAGTGCGGTGTATCGCACCCGCTTCTTGTGGGCGCTGCGGGCGGGGTCGTAGGAGTGGCGCGGCGGGGCGCGGCGGGGCGCGGCGGGGCAGAATGCGGACAGATTCCGCCGGGTCGACACACCACCGACTGCTGTGCTGGCGCCTCCGCCATGCTGAGGTGTTGTTGTGTGTCGTGCTGATGTCTGTCCGTCTGTCTGTTCGTGCGTCTGTCTATGTGAGTCTGTGTACGGACCCAGCTCCGCCCCGCCACCATACCGTTCCGTCCCCATACACACAAAGGGGGTTCAGAGCGCACTGACATCCAGCCAGCACAGCAACACCAGCGTCTTCATTGTTCTTACACATGTTGTATCATTTACAAAACCCCAGAGGGGATCACCTTCCTCCTCTAGCCTCTAAATAACAGGCGCACATCCCTACCTGCACAAGGTGAAAAAAGTTTCTTGTATTACAGGACCTTGTCTTGAATCTTATGGTGAACGCCAATGGCATCCAAGACCAGGCCTTGTAATACAAGAAACTATTTTTACCGTGCACTGTAAAAAAGTAAAAATGGTCAAACGGGCAAACACTTAACTACTTTTTCAATTTTATATAAAACCAGTCGCTAAGTTGGCGGTTTGCATTGCACTTACAATTTTACTTTGCGTTGTTTGGTATTTCAGACAAAAATTCTCCATCCTGGGTGTGATTTGGTTGTCACTATTAGATTTTGTGCGTGTTGTTTGACGAAGTGATGTGTGACCCTTTCTTACTCGTAGGGTATTCACTCAACGCTTGGGTCCGTGTCCCCTCCAGCAGGGTGCGTGCATCCTGTCGAACCCCCTTCCACCTCGTCGGCGTGTGTCAAACCCACCGGCTGTACCGCCGTCGGGCGAGGTGCCCATATGTCGTGTCGCAGGAGGGGGCAGTGTCCCCACGGGGCGTCGACCTGTGCTGCTTACCAGTACCCTCTTTATAAAAACAGAAACCAAAAAAGAATTTACTTTGCTCAAGTATGGCGCGCGGTATTTGGCGCGCGCACCGTAGCGTCGTCAAAACAAACTCGGCTCCCTTTCAGCTGCTGCGAAGCACGCCATTTTCACACCCTAGTTAATTCGTTCAGAGAGATTGGGGGAGGGGGGGGGGAGAGAGAGAGAGAGAGAGAGAGAGAGAGAGAGAGAGAGACTCTGATTGGCCCTGCATCTCCCCCACTAAATTAAACCTCCTAATCGGTCCGGTCGGCTGGCTCGTATGAGCTCCATCGCTCGCCTGCCCACTCCCTCTGCCTCTGGCCAGTAGAGTGAGAGAGACGGACGAGCCACGCGCCGTCAGCAAGCGCAGCAGAGCGAGAGTGCGAGAGAGACCGCCGCACTCTCTCCGCTTGCCGCCAACGCCACACGCCTTTTGGCTCCAGCGGTGAGCGTCTGCCTCCAGCCCTATCCCACTGTGAAAAATATCATCGTAAATTTACAAAACTTTTGTAAACTCGAAGTTGTAAATTTACGAGAGCACATTGTTTTACTCGCTAATGGATTTTAAGTCGATACGACCGCATTATATTCTGCACTTTATTGCATTGTATTTTTACCATTACAATTGTAATGTTACAACTTGCGTCAAGGAAAATTTTTCTGCAAACCTTGCTACTATTTTTCACAGCGTCCGCTTTATTCTGTTAGGCCCCAGCACGATGCAGGGGTAATTTTGCAATAATCTCTGGCCTCGCACGATCCGCTCTTCTCGGTATTTAATAAGGACCTCTCCCCTCTATCTCGACTTTGTGGGGAGATAATTATATTCTAACACGAGCTTAGAATGGGAGAGAGGTAAGGGGAAGGGGATAGGGGGAGCACCAAGCTCGTGGGAGCATATGGGGCAGGGGGCGGGAAGGATCGTCGCAACACGGAGGCCACCATTTTCATCGTGCAAACTCGTCCAGTAACTTTCTCAACTTGTTTTCCCTTTGCTCTCTTTCCTGAAGGGGGGCGGCCGCCGATAGCCATGGGACGCACACATCGTCCACCAGCAGCGCGCCAAAAAGTATGGCCACGACTCTGAGCTGAGGGGTGCCCCCCCCCCTTCTCTCTCTCTCTTGCTCTTTCCTTCTCGCAAACATTCTGGGCTGCAGTCACGCCACCTGCTGCCTGCCCTGGAGCACCCCAACCAGGCGGGCACGCGCAGTCAGCGCAGCACGATGTGCGATGTGTGGACACCGCCGCCCCGCCCCGCCCC